AGGCTAAGCGGGAGATTTTGCGAAAGAAACAACTCTCACCCCAGCCACCGCAACCAAAACCCGCAACCATCGGAGTCCCGACCACCCAACGACCCGCGCACTGCACGACCACTCCACAGATGCCCCGACCAGAGACTCTAACTCCCTTGAAAAGGCAGAGCACCGCCGGAAAGACAACCCAACAGCTACAAACAAGAGGGACAGAAGACTTACCATCGCCGATTAGAGCATCGCCGGCAATGGAGGAACTCCACCCTCGAACACTGACCGGGAATGGCACCGTCTCTAGAACCCCTGACCGTAGGCCGCGGCTTCGAGCTGGAGGCCAATCGCAGCCCATCCACCAAGAATCAGGAGCGCGCAACGTCGACGGAGGTTGGAACGGTCATTGATGACCCCTGGCCGTGACTAACTGACACCGAAGAAGGCTAATTTGCCGGAAAATTGAGGAGGTCGTCGCCGATTTAGGGTTACGCAAGGGGAGAAATTGGGGAAGCGGAGAGCGTAACGACTATAGTAACATATACTCTATTTCAACTTATATATTTTTTTTTAATATAAATAAATAATAGAAGGATTTATATGCCAACAGGAAAAGAACAAATGCAAATTTTGTGTTAGCAAAATTGCGTTTGGGAAGGGAGAGGAAGCCGAGCAAACGCATTATGCAGAGGATTTTGTAGTACGAATAGAGATATTTCGACTGCAAAAAATGAGTTTGTGTCTCGATTGGAATCGGTCTAACAAAAACTCCGAAATAGGTGGATTCACATTTTTTTCAAATGATAATTAATTATAATTTATAAACACACTCAAGCAAATCAAAAATCAAATATGTGCAGGGTACTTGCTAATTATTAATGGCACTCCCCGGTTGGAAGATGTTACACGAAATCTTGATAATTGAAAAAGGCCAACACTTGGACTAGCTGGTGCTATATCGAATGAGAATACATTTTCCAGAAAAACAATGACGGGATAATTTCAAAATTGGTCTTATAATTTGGCCACAGTCCAAAAAACTACCCCTATATTAACCACTTTCAAAATTGGTCCTATAATTTCAGAATTTAATCAAATTTGGTCATTTTTTAATCAAATTTTAATCCATGTTCCGGATAAAAAGGACCAAATTTGATTAAATTTTGAAATTATAGGACCAATTTTGAAAGTGGTCAATATAAGGGTGGTTTTTTGGACTGTGGCCAAATTATAGGACCAATTTTAAAATGAGAAAATAGCTATTTTCACCACATTCTGAAGTCATACTAAGTTTTTCACACCACCCAATAAAAAGCTAAGTTTTTCACCCCAAAAAGTACGAAGACATATGCGATGAACTATGCGCTAAATAGGCGACAAGTATAAGCATGGGCGAGAAAATTATGAGTTAAAGTATGCGACTGTTCTATGATGAATATTCGGAGATTCGATGTACGATTCGGTCAATCGCGGTCCATCGCCCATTAAATAATTATTTTTGTTAGGCGAATGAACTGCGACTATTAGTCGAAAAAATTATTCTGCGACACAACTGCGACATGCCATATATTTATTTGTCAAATTGTAATTATTTGTCTAAATGCATATTTTTATTATTATTATTATTATTATTATTATTATTATTATTATTATTATTATTATTATTTTAAAATATGGTGTGTATTATAAATATAGATAATCCGGATTAATTTGATTATCGTCGTCTATCGATTCGATCGAAATTCTTTTGATGGCGTTGTATTATCCGAACCGTTATTATTTATTAAGCCTGGAGTTCTATTTTTCGGCCCAATTGAGAAGAGAGTCCTTCAGCCATTTTGACTAATCAATTGAGGCCCAATCATTTTATTTAAGTATTGTCATTTGGGTAATGTTTCCTTTTGTCCATTTTGTAAGATTTTCTTGGCCGATTAAGAAGCATTTTATCGAACAGATTTCTCCTCCTTCTCTGCGCAAGACCGAGTCTACCCCGTCCGTTACAAATTCGGTTCCGATTTCCTTGTGTAACGTTCTCGCACGATCGCTCAAATCGCCCGCACATCTCTATACACTGTACCGAGAGCAGTTTCAAATTTTAATTGCCAAAATCCAGGGTAAATTTTTGTTACGTTGCTGTGACTATATCGTGTTATTTTGGAGTCCTGTTTTTTCGTTTCAGATTATCGTTGTAATTTATTTCGGGGGTCGTCTTGTTCGTTAGTTTTCGAACCATTAGGTGTCGTTTTCTATTCCGAGCAAACCCCGTTTTCGTAGGATTTTCGAACTCTGGAAAAGTTATTTTATTTTGGAAAAATTTCTGTGAAATTCGCTGTTGAATTCTGAAGCATAAAGTTCTGTTCAATCTGCTAGTAGGCCTTTCAAATTCGCAGCTTTTGTTTCAGTTTTAGCAGGTTTTGTTTAAAAATTTCATTTGGTAAAGTTTGCAATTTAAGTCGCATGCAACTCGTGTAGTCCGGTGGTTTACCGTGTGCTATTCCTTGAGCGATGTCCCGTGTTCGAACCCTGCCTTTGAAGCCAATATTTTTTTGTCACATTTTTTCCAGCCCAAGTCCTTGCTGCCCGCGCTCGGCCCGCGCGCAGCCCGAACATCCTCCGCATCCCCAGCCCGCGCCAGGCCCTGTTCCAACCCGCGTGAAACCCACCTTTCCAGCCTTATTGCGTGGCCCAATCTGGGGTGAATTTTAGGCACATTTATCGCAAGCCAAGCCAGTTCAGTGGCTGCCCTTATGGGTTTCTTCCCAGCGCGGCCCAAGTTCTGCCTTTTGGCCATTTTTGTGTGCCGAGAGCTTATTTTTCGTGCCAAACCTGTTGTAAAAAAAATATTTTCAAATGAGATAAATCCGAGAAAATTATTTTAAGTCCCGTGACCCATTATATTTTATTCTCCGAGTCATATTTATTCAAAATGAGAGAGTTCCAAGTCCACGTACTTTCTTTCGTGTGCCATTTTCTACCGAAATTCCAGGCGAGTTTTGAAAAATTACTATGCTTTAAATATTATTACTGTTTTAATTGTGGTATGATCAAGGTATGTATGTGAATCATGTAGCCTTCGGTGTGAGCTGTACCGGCCACCGAACGGTTATCCCCGTAGCTATAAAACGTACCCGTTAGGTAGTCTGCCTTGAGAGCCGTAAGACCAGGGCGTAGGTTCTGGCTAGTGATCCACGATTGTAAGACCAATTCGTAGGTTTTGGCCGGTGGGGTGGTTTACTCCTATTGGCTGGCACTCGATGTAGGACCGGAGGGCATTCGATATATAGTCAGTTTTGGCCGGTGGGGTGGTTTACTCCTACTGGCTGGCACTCGATGTAGGACCGGAGGGCATTCGATATATAGTCAGTAGTAGTCTATGCGTAGGTGTGCACATGAGTCTGATTATTGTATTATTGATGGGAGAATGTGATAGATTATTGCTTCGTATAAATGCTGAGACCATACCTTTATAATTATTGATTAAATTTGATTATTGACATTAACATTTATGGCATAGCGGTGAGCACTACTGTTTCCTTTGTGCTCATCCCCACCTGCTCTTCATGGATGCAGGTTAGATAGAGCAGCACGGCAGAAGGGATGCGAGTGGTGGTCTTTAATTTAATAAATGCTTCCGCTTTGAACTGAACTTGGATATTATTGCATTATTATTGACTATTGTTTTCTAGTATTGGAGTATTGGATTATTGATAGGGATTATTTTCCTAGATCATGATTGGATTATTATTGCATTATTGGGATTTTATTATTGATTATGAGTATTGATAATTGCCGAGTATTGAGAATATGTTGAGTATTGATTATTGTTTTGAAAATGAGTAGCGCCTCAAATATTGTTTTTGAAATAAATTGAAAAATTTACCTCGAATTTTTGCAATTAAAAGTGGGGCGTTACAGTTGCTCACGCACTTTGGCACGTCTGATTACCATAATTACAACGAGGCTCTCGCACGTATACGTCAGACAGGCAGCTTGCGCGAGTACATCAAGGAGTTCGAGCGTCTAGCCTGCCGCGTATGAGATTGGCCTGAGGATGCACTAATGGGAGCTTTCATAGGTGGGCTAAAGTTCGATCTAGTCGCAGAAGTTCGACTGGAGTGGCCAGACACGATGCACACAACCATGGAGGTAGCCCGACGCCGCGAGGACATTCTAGTCGCAACACGAAGGGGACGGGCAGACGCCCGTTTCGCCGATATGCGACGCACGGGCCCGATCTATGCAATCGTGGGCGCACGACCGGCCATCAACGTTCGACCACCGGGGCCAGTAAGTAGGCGGCTATCTCCCGAGGAGGTCAAACGCCGGCATGAGAAAGGCCTCTGTTTCAAGTGCAAAGAAAAGTTTACACCGGGTCATCAATGTAAACAGACTTTTGTGATTGAGGTCGCCAATTCCGATGAAGAGGATTCTGAGGACGAGGAGGATCCAAAGCAAGGAAACAAGGTCTAAGTGCTCGAAGAAGAAAATCTCGATGCACGCCATGGCTGGGGTCAGAGGGGCAAGGACGATGAGGCTACCAGCCTGGGTCAAGGATCGACGTGTGATCGTACTCGTAGACAACGGGTCATCACACAAATTCATCAATGCCGACTTATCCCAGAAGCTGAATCTACCAACCACGAAGATTGAGCCCTTTGAAGTTCGAGTAGCCAACGGTGAGAGGCTTCAATGCACTGAGTTTTTTTGTAAAGTACCAATCAAATTTCAAGGAGTTGTCGTGGAAGCCGATCTCTATGCCCTACCCTTGGTTGGACCGGACGTGGTTCTAGGAGTTCAATGGCTAGAAGGGTTGGGAAGGGTGACCACAGACTACCGCACCGGAGTCATGGAGTTTAGATCTGGAGGCAAGCGGGTCACTCTCAAGGCTAGAGAAGAAAAGATTACTAAAGAGGTTGGTTTGTAGAGTATTGAAAGAGTTAGGCGAGGTGGCGGCCAAATTTTTGCAGTAGTAGTCGAGAACACAGGGGCGCACATAGGCAAGGATGAGCAACAGAAAGGAGATGTACGCGAGCTTCTCGAGGAGTTTGAAGGAGTACTGGGCGAACCTAAGGGTCTACCACCCCACCGGGAGTTCGATCATCGCATACCACTAGTCAATGAGCAGCATGTTGTACATGTTTACCCCTATAGGTACGCTCACTTTCAGAAAACTGAGATCGAAAGGCAAGTAGCTGAGATGTTAGAGTCTGGGTTAATTCAGCATAGCTCGAGTCCGTTTTCATCACCAGTATTATTAGCTAAGAAGAAAGATGGTACGTGGAGGTTTTGTACCGACTATCGGGCTTTGAATGCCGCGACCATCAAAGATCGATTTTCTATTCTGAGTGTCGACGACATGCTCGATGAGTTGGCAGGATCACGCTATTTCTCGAAGCTCGACCTGAGAGCTGGTTATCATCAGATTCGACTCCACAAGGCCGACATTCCGAAAACAGCTTTTTGTACACATCAGGGGCATTATGAGTATTTGGTGATGCCATTCGGGTTGTGCAACGCTCCGTCAACTTTCCAATTTGCTATGAATTCCATCTTCAATGAGTACCTACGTAAGTTTGTCTTGGTATTCTTCGATGATATCTTAGTTTATTCGAAGTCATGGGTGGAACATCTGGAGCATTTGAGACTGGTGCTCGAAGTATTGGAGGCCAACTCATTCCACATCAAGCCGTCCAAGTGTTCATTCGGGCAGGAGATGGTTGAGTACCTAGGCCACTTTATAACCTACGAAGGCGTGAAGGTTGATCCACGGAAGATAGAAGCTATGGTCGACTGGCCTAAGCCAACGAGTCTCACGCAGCTCCAAGGATTCCTAGGGCTCATGGGTTACTACAGGAAATTTGTGAAGGATTACGGGCGATGTCTCACGCAGCTCCAAGGATTCCTAGGGCTCACGAGTTACTACAGGAAATTTGTGAAGGATTACGAGACCATCGCCAAGCCATTGACGGAAATGACCAAGAAAGGCGGGTTCACATGGAACAAGGCTAGCGAGGAGGCGTTTGAGAAACTGAAGGGCGCCATGACTACGAGGCCGGTACTCGCCATGCCGAGGTTCGATGTCTTGTTCGAGGTACACACAGATGTGAGTGATATTGGAATTGGAGCTGTGCTAGTGCAGGAAGGACGACCCCTAGCCTATCTTAGCAAAGCACTAGGCACGACTCGATTGGGCTTGTCTGTGTACGTGAAGGAGATGCTAGCAGTTGTCGAGGCTGTAAGATGCTGGAGGCCTTACCTATTAGGGCGTCGATTTTTGATTGTGACCGACCAACAGCCACTCAAGCATCTACTCGAGCAAAGGATTGTTACTTCCGAGCAGCAGAAGTTTGTCTTTGTAATATCCCAACCTTTATCAGTATAATAATATATTTTAGTTCCGATAGTATTT